AGGCCCAGGCAACTGTGGTGGATATTGATGCCATGATGAAAAAATTCAGCAGCATCCTCTACACACTGACCGTTGTACTCGGCATCACGGGGAACTCTGTGGTGATCTGGGTGGCTGGATTCAAACTTAAGGTAGATATATTGCATAATCAGTTTCAAATACCTTCTGAGTCTGAAATGTTTCTGTACAATATTTTATAACGCCCTAAAAGGCAGCTTCCTTGAACAGGAAATATACTTACACAACATCTACCCAGGAAAGCCACAATTGGTTAAAAAATCTAAAATCAATGGGTACATAACTTGTAAGGCTTGAATGTTTATCAAATGTCACTGAGCTTAAAATAAAAATAAAAAATCTAAACTTTTCAGCAGACAAGGACATCAAACTCTTGACAGACTTCTTGGATGGTATAGATAGATTTGATAATAGCTTTGGGAAAGTAAATTAATTAGTTACAAGATTGATGGATGGAAACTGATAGAATGTTATCAGCCAATTGAATGGCCATGATCGCTTAAAATCTGTGTTAAATATACAATATTATACTACCTCCAGACTTATTCATGTACTTCTGATTACCTCACAAGTATAGTTAAATCTGCAGCTAACAAGACTGCCTATAGGGATAAAGTGCACAACTGACTTCATCTAACACTAAATATCAAGAAGACAAAAAGCTTATCATAGATTTCAGACATCATCAGAGGAAGCCCCAGCCACTAAAAGTAGCAGGAGAGGAAGTGATGGGAGTTTACAGCTTTAGGTTCCTAAATGTGTCAGTGATGATCTTAAATAGACTGTTAACTGAGTGGCACTAGTAAAAAAAGATTCAACTGAGACTTTACTTTCTCAGATCACTAAGAAAAGTCTCCCTTTTTCCAAAACTAAGTCTTTTAAGCACTCCTCAGTAGCAAACATTCGATTATACTGGCTAAGAGCTTGATATGGAAACTATACAACAGCAGATAAAACAGCCTTCAAAGAGAAAAACAAAAAAGCTGCACCAAAAAAAAGAAAGAAATCATTGGATTACTTTACAGCAGGGACTGCATCAAGATTACCCATCACATTCATCATCTGTTCTCTGTATTGCCACCTGGAAGTCATTAAAGGACTTTAAAGACCTTCAAATCCTTATTATTTTTTTATTTTTTTTATTCAATGACCATAACTGAACTTAATTTTCTCTTTATAGTAGCATTTCAATAACGCTCAATCACAATTCGTATTTTGTATATATTTGACAATATAACAGGTTTGCTTACAATGAAATTTACCACCTAATTAATGTCTTTCACTTTCTTCCTCTTCTTTATCAATCTTGTTTTATTTTCGTCCTGCTTAGCTGACAGTCACCAACGTGTGGCTGGTGAACCTGGCGATAGCAGACCTGATCTTCTGCTTCACATGGGTTTTCTCCCTCGCTCAGATGCTCTTCTTTGACCACTGGCCTTTTGGCCTCTTCGTCTGCAAGTTCTATGGCTTCTTCAAATATACCAACAAGTTCTGCTCTGTCTTCCTGCTGGCTGTGATCAGTCTAGATCGAGTGCTCTGCATCTGGCAGCCCGTCCTCACAAAGCAGCGACGCACCATGTGGGCAGCGAGGGTGGTGGCAGTCTGCATCTGGATCGTGGCGATTCTTTTCAGCATTCCCTATGTCATTAATTGTCAAATGTACATGGACAACAAAAACTTGAGTTGGTGTTCTGTGGACCCAATAGAGAATCCAGAGGGGTACAACAGCACCAAAGTAGCTCTCTACTCCATCCGCTTCCTGTGCGGCTTCATATTACCCTTCATAGTGATTCTCGTCTGTTACATCCTGGCTGGAGTAGGCATCCGACGCACCCGCCTGTCAGGGAAGTCCCGCCCCTTGCGTATCATAGCATGTTTGGTCATTGCCTTTTTCCTGTGCTGGGCGCCATACCACTGCCTCTTACTGGTGAAGATGGTGGACAATGAAAATGCAGTGGTGAAAATCTGGTACCCTGTAGCAAAGGGTGTTGCCTACTTTAACAGCTGTATAAACCCACTGTTGTATTTTTGCATGGGTCTAAAAATGAATGAGGGATTTAAACAGAGTGTGACAAGAGTTTATAGAAGAGCTTTGGCAGATGAAATGGAAGGCCAGACTACTCAGTCCACTGATCACTCTTAGGATTTAAGCTGTAAGATGGAACACACTAATGTTGTGGGGGCAAAAAAGAGAGAGTGGGTGTGGTTTCTGCCAGTGATCCTGACGCTAGTATTTGATAGTATTTATTCAAGCTCAACAAAACAAGCATGTGAGGTTCCACCTAACCTTCCTCATCTGTGCTTTTAGTTAGCCAAGGGTGACAACAATAAATTCTGACATCCCTACAGTAAATCAAGATGTATTTCATCATAATATATTATAAAAAGTACATACTATATGCAGTCTTCACTACTCAAAAATTAAAGGAAAACTTTAATCATAGCTAGCATCGGGTCAGTTTAGGGATATTGATCTGTTCAGTTAAGTAGCAGAAGTGATTGTTAATCAGTTTCAGCTGCTTTAGTGATAATAAAATTAACAGCAGGTGCACTACAGTGGCATCAATTAGACAACTTCCAAAACTGGAATGATTTTGCAGGTGGGGGCCACTGACACTTTTCACTTCTTAATCTTTTGCTGACAGTTTTTTACTGGTGTTGCACTTAGCTAGTGTCTGTGTCACTAATGGTAGACCTGGGGTTGATACCAGAATTGATGGGTTCACCAACTGGCTCCCTGTCCTTTTCATGGATGAAAGCAGGTTTACCCTGAGCAGATACAACAGACATGAAAGGGTTGGAGAAGCTATGGAGAACATTCAGTATGATTGGTTTGGTGGTGGGTCAATGATGGTTTGGGGAGGCATATCCATAGAGGAATGCACAGCACTCCACAGGGTAGGCAGCAACACCCTGACTGTCATTAGGTATCGGGCTGAAATCCATGGACCCTGGCAGACCCTACACAGATGCAGTAGGTCCTGGATTCCTCCCAGTGAACAAGGCCCCTCATCGTGCGAGAGTATGCAGGGAGTTGCCGAAGAACATAAGAGTTGATACCGTTGAGATGTTTTTAAAGTGTTCCTTTAAATGTTTTGAAGAGCGTATGTCATGATACTCTTGGCCAAACTACCCATGGACTGACATATCAAATCTAACTGGACAGGTTAATGTCAAAAAGTAACAAAATCATAAACATGGTTTAGAAATCCAGATAACTGAGAAAAATGACTCAGTGGTCACAGCATGTCAGCATCTGCCTGTCATTTGGCACGCCCCTAAATGTAAGTGTCAGTGTAGTTTAGATGAGTGAGTTACAGGGGAAACAAATCCACTTTTTTGCAGTTATTGTGATCATTAAAAATGGCTTAAGTAAACACAACGGTTTTTTAAATACCAGGCTGTAAATATGTTTTATTAAAAGCAAACAAGCTAATGATCAGCAGCCTGACAGGAAATAGTAGGTTTTACTCTGTTGAGGAGGGTTTTTTTTTCTTTCTATAGCTTTATATTTATATCAGTAGGACGATAAGATCTGAGATCTAATTCTGCCAACCACTAGATGTTTTAAATTTAATTATGATCAAACAGAAGGCTGTCATAAAACTTGCTGTTGCAACCTTTCGATCCAATAAATAACAACATACTGTGAACATATATACATTATTTTCCAGGGTGTCATCTAGAGACAATTTTCATATAGAAATGAACCCTTCATAATAATTTTCATCAGGAAACTGCTGTAGTTGTTTGCATCAAATAATTATGAAAATGTCTTTGCCTACAACTTAATTACTGGATATCAAATATGTACTGAATGAATAAACAAACAAAGATGGTGAGTTTGTATATACTTTGTGGATATTTGCATCAGTTCCTCCTTTGGGTGGGGCTCTAACTTGGTGTTGGCTCTCTCTGTATCACTTCCTGTTACAACCAACGACTGCAGAAAACATGGACGACCTGACAGCTCCCCAAAAATGAAGCCAAAACGTCTCTGACGCCCCCTGGTGTCTGGCTGCAGTATAGGTCATAAACTCTGCCTCCTCCATGTTAGCACATTTTTTCTTTTTAAATTAACTTTATTTGTCAACAATAATATAAAAATATGAGACCATATTAGTTATCCATGCATATAAATGTATACGGCTGAGCATTACAACAACAGAAAAAGAGAGATTTAAAAAAGCAAGAGGAATAACAAAAGAATGAAAGAAAAAATAAAGTCTTAGGAATTCATTAGTTGGCTAAATCCTAACCTCCATGGCCTCAAATTCTTTTAGAGTATAATTTCTTTTAACTGGGTTGGGACAGATTTCGTTTATCAAAATATTTCTGATCGCTTTGTTTGTAAACCTGCTGTCAGTCAAAGTCTCCAGCTATGCAGAGCTGTCTCAATCTAGGAGAAATTTAATCATTGATCTCAAAGGGACTGGGATGGCTTTTGTTAGTGTTTTATAACTCTTAGCAGTGCATCTTACGTCAAACTTCTCACAGAACGTCTGTTTTATAAGACCCCATTCTCATCCATAAAATCAGCTACAGCCCAAATCCCTTTGGATCTTCAGTCATCCATGTACACTGATTTTTAACAGGTAACGAACTGCAATCAAAGTCACAACTTAAAATTCTCTTCCACCCATTTTATCAATCATCACATTGAGATTAACATTTCAAAAGGATGTTTGTTCTTAAGGATCTTAACCATTTCAATTTTAACACACAATTCATAACAGCTCCGCGTGGCTTGGAAAAAATTATAAGTATTTAACTGAAGTTTATTTTTATTTGTGTTAGTTTTTTTTCTTTAACTTGTAGTTCTAAATTGGAAGATTATTGTGATCTTGAAATATAGAAATAAAATTATATTTTATTATCTTTTGTTGCTCAAAATAAGCGTCACACTCGTGGAAGCCGGTATACCCACCAAAACATGTGAATTTATTGAGACTTTTGGGGGTGGTGCAAGATGGCGAGTTGAGCAGTCGCACGAATTAGGAGCTTGATAAATTTGTCCCAGAATTCAGATTGTGTTATTAATTATTTCCACTCGAGAATAGTGAAAAGAATGCCCCAAGTATAGTTAAACCTGCTAAACTCAAAGTCGACCTCAAAAAACAAGAAACCAACATCGCCATGTGGTGAAAAGAAAGATGGCAAACAGAGAATGGAACATGACTACGCAGCAACGGACGTAGCAGTGGTGAGCAAAAGGGAACATGGCAACGACTTGGTTCCTACACCTAAAAAAAGCCTGCAAAAAAGAAAGTTAAACCAACCAGAGATGAGTGAAGGTGATGAAGTCACTAGCTAACCAAAGATAACTACGACCTTAATGAGAGAGTGAGAGAGGAAGAAAGGTTTAAAATGAGGTGGTGCCTCCGGATTAAAGGATTAGAAGAGAAAAAAAAAGATGAAGATGTCACATTATTATTATTATTATTGGTTATTGGAATCCTTGGCAAGATCGCACCTGATATGATATCAAAGGTTGAGGAATCTGTAGATATGGTGCATAGAGTTGAGAAGAAGATTGAGAACAAGGTCAGAAATGTCATCATTGCTTGCTCTGAGACGTCAAAGGAAGAGCGTCAAAGCAAAGGTTTGGCGGTCTGTAAGGACGGCGGTTTCCACTTCGCTGAGGTACTGCCACGGGAGAAGTGAGAAGAGGAGGCGGCTGTGGCCCCAAATTGTACAAGCAAGATGGAAAATGGGCCTTTTTCCGGGGTCCTCATGGATAGACGAAGGGTGGAGGATTGGTGACGTTGAATGAAAGACTTCATGTAATATTATTAATGGGGCAACAGAGCTCTACTGAAAGTTACAGGTTATTACTCATTGAGTGGGTGACAAGTGTTATGATTTAAACTCATACTTTTTATTATTATTTATTTATTCTTATAGTATGCTCTCTTACTTGTTATGGTTCACTCAAAAATTTAATTTGGTTCATTAAACGTTTAGGGTTTGAAGGAAATTGTTAAGAGAAAGGCACTTTTTTTTTATTTTGCAAGGGGCAAAAATGTCACTGTCTGTTTCTACAAGAAACTCACACGGTGGATGCTGACCTTTTGGGCTAATCAGTGGGGAGACCAGATTCAGCCATGGTTCTAACAGAGCTGGAGGTGTGGCAATTTGTTTTAATAAATTCCCAGGGGAGATTATAACTCACAAAGCTGACAGAGGGGCCCATTGGTAAACTGTAGTTTTGAAGAGTGAAGGTATATTTCTAATTGTCACAAATCTTTATAGACATAATAATGAGCTTCAAAATAAAAGTCTATTGGAAAATTTAACAAATGTTATTTTAGAGTTTAAAGTTATACCCCACAGATTACATCCTAGTAGGAGGAGGTTGGAACATGACAGCAGATGAATAGATGGACAGATGGCCTCCTCGCTTAGGAAGGAGGCAACA